GTATGAAATAATTTTATTACGAAAAATCAGCGAAAAATTATATCCATTTTTTTATTTTCAGCCATTTTAGTTAACATTGATTTGTCCATCTGTTTCGCAAAATCCACTTTTGGACCATTTACCTTAAACCCTCTGTTGATAGGATTCTTGTTTTAAGTTAATTTTGTTCAACATCAATACAAAAAAATCTCCTATGACTCTTAGTTCAAAAGCTTGCCTATTTTCAAAATGGTCGCCATTCTTTTTTTTGTGTAATACTATATTTATTGGATTACATTAATAGCTATCAGCAAATACAAAATGTTTTCCATTACACATTATTTAATGTTATCACTGGTAAAAAAAAGGGGGGGGTGCAGCATTGGGAGACATAAAATTATTTTTTAAAATCTTCTTGAATTAATGAAATATCGATAGAGTTCTTCAAATAATAATTTGTTTTCCTTTTCAGAAAGAAATTTATTCCCATTGAGAATAATGCTAATTTTTTCATGATTTGTTGACAAACTAATCGAGGGTTTGTCTATGCATATTTCATGAAGCTTGTTTAGTAGATCGTTTCGTTGAACGTCGAGATATGGACAGCTAAGGATAGAATGCATGATTGTTTCATTACCATTTCCGCAGAGGGGACAACTTGGAGCATCGATCAACCTCATGGAAAATAAATGCGAATTCAGTTGCGTGAGGCCTAATCTAAACCGCGCATGAATTATATTGACTTTGCCGTCGCCGCAATAATACAGTTTCTGAAACCTTTTATTTTGATTATAAATGTCTCTTTAATTCAAGTTTGAAAAGATTAAAAGTGGTTTTATCTTTTATTGCCTTTGGAAGATTGTTCCACGTCCTTATGACAGAGGGAATAAAAGAGTTTCGATGAAAATTACTTTTAGTCTTAATTAGCTGGTATTCACTTGCTGATCTTAAGTCGTAATTTGTTTTGTCATTGACCTTTCCTGGAAGAATGTTTTTATAATGATTGGGAGTTTTCCCATAAATAATTTTTGCGAGTATTAAAATCTTAAAGTAGCTTCTTCGAAGTTTTAATGTTGACCATCCAAGGTCGTTCATTGTTTTTACATAGCTTGATTTTTCCATTCCCCCAGTGACCACCAAAGATGCTTTGTATTGTATGTTCTCAAGCATTTGGCTAGCCCTTTCAGAGGTGTTATCATATATTACACAACCATAGTCGATTATTGGTCTAACATAAAGTTTATATATAGTATCTAAAGTTCGTCTAGGTAGTTTTGTTATTAGTTTTGCCATAAGATTTACTAGTTTTGTGGCTTTAGATGAGAAACGGTCATGGTATGTGTTTTGGAAGCATTGAATGTTATTAAGTTATCATTAGCCCAGTCTCTAATATTATCAAGGTCAGTCTGGAGCTTTACAGTAGTCCTATCCAGGTCTTCAACAATTTCAAAAACAAAGGAATCGTCAGCAAACAGATAAAGATTACTCTGAACATGGTCAAGAAGATCATTAATAAAAATAAGAAAAAGGAGCGGTCCAAGAACGAAGCCTTGTGGTACTCCTGCTCTAACTGGCAAAAAGTCTGAGTGCTTTCCATTGACAACTACTCTTTGCAAACCATTTGTTAAATAACATTTGATCCACTTTAGTAGACTTCCACCAATTCCAATTTTCCTCAATTTATAAATCAACATCGCGTGCCAAACTTTGTCAAAAGCCTTGCTTATGTCAAGAAAAATTAGCCTCACTTCTTTACCGTTGTTGAGAGCAAAACTTATTTCATCAACTATGCGAATAAGTTGATTAATTGTAGAGTCAAGTGGTGTAAATCCGGATTGACGAAAAGTTATCTTATCCTTGACAAAATTGTATAATCTTTTAAACACTATTTTTTCAAGGACCTTTGATAGAGAACACAACAGGGATACTGGCCGAAAATTGCTTTTAACATGTGGATCATTTTTTTTAAAGATTGGGGTGACGTTAGCTTTCTTCCACATAGATGGAAAAATGCCCTTGGCTAGGGATAAATTGAATAAACGCGATATAGGTTTGCTAATATAATCAGCGCAAAGTTTTAAAAATTTATTAGGAAGCTCGTCCCATCCCCTGGCTTTGGATATATTCAATCTTTTTAATATGTCATGCACCTCAGTCGGGTCTGTTGTTATTGCATCAAGTGTCCAACATTAATTTCATCATTTGGAAATTGAGCTAGATTCTCATCAACAGTACACATATCAGTGAAATATTTATTTAAAACGGTTGCCTTTTCAGCATCGTCATCGAGGATTATGTCATTTTCAATTAGACTAGGTACCCCTTGATTAATTTTATGACCATATATCTGTTTTAAAACAGCGAACCATTTTTAGGAGGTGTCAATTTGTCATTTAAAATGTTTGATACTTTTTCATAATACTCAATTTTACATCGTTTAACCAAGTTTACCAATCTATTTCTATGAAGCTTGTATATGTCCCAATCTATCAATCTCCCCGTTTCGTGGGCCATTTTAAACGCTCTGTTTTTAATTCTACTCAATTTCCTAATGTATCCATTTATCTACGGTTTATCGTTAGGTCTCACAGTGGCTACTTTATTGGGTATACAATCTTGCATAGTAGATTTCAGAAAGTCCGTAATCATTGAACACGTATCTTCGATATCATCAAAAGTAAAGAAAACATCCCATGGTGCAGAAGTTAGACTCATTCAGTTTGTTATAGTTGACATTTGAAAAATCCCAGATTTTCCTTAAGAATGTTGATTTCTTGGGTATTGAAGTCAAAATATCTGTTAATATTGTTCTATGGTCACCTTCTGTACGATGGTTTACAAGTGTACGAGATACGCGGGCATTTTCTGAAATATGTTAAGATTAGATCACGTAAATAATTCAGACAAGTTGGTTCTTTTATCAGCTGGGCCATATTAAATGTTTTAACAAAATTGCTAAACTCGTTATCAAAAATCGTATTTATATGCCCCAGAACCCATTCATTTGACCCACAGTTAAAATCCCCAAGAATCCAGATTCCAAAGATGTTTTCATTATTTACGACGTTCAAACTTTGCTCGAGTCTCGTTGAAAAAATTTCCATTTGATCTCGATTTTGTCCGGGTGGCCTATAGCACGACGCTACTAAAATTTTAAAATGCCTAACTCTTATTTCAACCCATACTAATTCAATGTCAGGTGGTTCTAAGTCTTGCCTTCGTCTACAAAATAAATGGTCAGATACATAAATACAGACTCCCCCACCGTGACGCGTGCGATCTCGTCTAAAAGGCGCATGAAAATCAGAAAAGGTTATCTCATTATCTGGTATTTGGTTAGATAATTTCGTTTCAGAGAGACACAAAATGTCTATGTTGTTTTCTTCTATAAACAACTGAAGATCGGCAAATTTAACCTCGTGAGTATCCTCAATAGGTTTTATGCTATTAATGTTACTGTGCCATTCTTGTTTCGCGAAATTCACTTTTTGCACATTTCCTAGCTTTACAAATAATTTCAGCTGTCCTGCATTGTAAAAGCCATGTCACTGTAAAGAGTAGTTGTATGAAATAATTTTGTTACAAAAAATCGGCAAAATATTATATCCGTTTTTTTATTTTCAGCCATTTTAGTTAACATTGATTTGTCCATCTGTCTCACGAAATCCTCTTTTGGACCATTTGCTTAAAACCTCTGTTGATAGGATTCCAGTTTCAAGTTATTTTTGTTCAACATCAATACAAAAAACTCCCCTATGACTCCTGGTTCAAAAGCTTGCCTGATTTCAAAATGGTCGCCATTTTTGTCTCACGAAATTCAATTTTGGCCCATTTCCTAGCTTTACAAATAATTTCAGATGTCTTGCATTGCAAAAAGCCATGTCACTGTAAAGAGTAGTTGTATGAAATAATTTTGTTTCAAATAATTGGCAAAAAATTATATCAGTTTTTTGTTAGCAATTTTACTTAACATTGATTTGTCCATCTGTCTCTCAGTCAGTCCAAAATAGTGGCAAGTGGCTTGAAGTAATTTTGAAATAATAATCAATCCCACTCTCTGAAAAATTGTGGATTAGAACCCACCTTGTCACTTTTTTTATTTTTCTAAAGAGAGGGTCTTGTTTTTCTCAATTTAAATGTCTCAAAAGTTTCCTCTACACTATATTAATAACTTCTGAAAAGGGGATGGGTATTGTAATGTATTGTATTTGAAACTAAAGTCAATTGACATATTTAGTGGGTGTATGTTATGTGATGATGCAATTATAATTATTAGTCTAGGGATATAAATAAACTAAGTATTTGTCATCCTTTATGGATGAGCATAAATGGACTAAGTATTTGTCATCCTTTATTTAATTGTTGATTTATTTTTTTATTGCAATAATTTGAGAAACGAAGATGGTTTTCTAGAAAGAGGACTGCGGGGTTACAAACATAGGGAGTCAGCATGAACACCCTGTAGAGAATAATAAAACATAACATCTAATTAAAATATAAAAACATAACCATCAATTTCTAAGTTAAACATTACATTCTGATAAATCTAAAAATCACCTAAGATCTTCAAAGCAACTTGCAATTATCAATGCAAAGTATTATGGGCATATAATTATTTATTAAACAGATATTTACAGTGCCTCATTTTAGGGTTCCATCCCGGTTTTTTCTACAAACCCAAACTTGACTGGAAGCATCAAGCCAAAAATGGGTAAAAATATTAGTTTCAGTAAGTATAAGATATAAAGTAGTATATCAACCAGGTCCCTATGCCATACTGGCGATATTATACAAATGTTGTGCCCCTGGTCACTACAGTATTAATATACAATTTAAATTGTACCATATGCAAAGGCCACACAATTAAACCATTCATACATGTATCAAAATATGAGATTCAAAACTTTTTTTTAATTTAAGAAGTTGTTTTTAAGGTATATCTTTGTTTGAAAAATTGTTGTTTTTTTGTATAGGGTTCAAAAGTTAAGTCCATCCAAGTTCAAAGGTGATGGTGCAGTCTCCTAGAGTATTTTGAATACTTGTAACATACCATCCACACCATTATAGTAATTTTTTGTCACTTTCTCTTTGATCAAACGCCAAATATTTTCTTCCTCATAGGACTTGATGAAGTTACTGAGGCCAAGATAGTTTGGGTGTTTTAGAATGCTTTTTCGGTGAATGTTGCCGATCAGGCCACCTGAAATAAATATTTTGTCTAATTAAAATGCAGTTTACAACTTGACAATGACATGTTTCTGAGACAGAACTTTCATGAATTTTGATGAACAGTTATTTTTTTTCAATTTAAAATCAAAATGTATTCAAAATATACCTGACTTAACTATCCTAGTCAGTTCCAAATAGCTATCAGTTTGGAGATGTTCTGGAAAGAATGCTCCGCTCATAACAACAGCATCGTATGTGTTGCTCCCTATGGGTAGGACTGCGCCGTCTCCAACTTTTGAACATATAAGCTCTCTGTATATATTCTTTTCCTTTGCCTTATCTAGCATTTGCTGACAACAATCCAAAGCATCAATGTTGAAGCAACCATTCAGTTGTAACTGAAAAAATATCAATAGCATACATTTTGTATTTTGGATCATTTACAGTCCTTTCATTAGACATAGCTATGATTGAAAATTAATAGCCCCACAACAATGTATTTTATGATGAAAACTTAGTTTTTCATTTTCAACTAAAGTGATAAATATTATTCACAAGATATATCTTTCACATGTAATTTGTATTTTTTAGCCTGAGCCCTATAGGCTGTGAATGATCTCAAATGTTTTATTGTCTTGATGATTTGTGCCTTTGAAACTCCTAAATGGTCAACCAAATGCTTAAATTGGTGCAAGTTATTATAAATCTCCAATATCTGTCTTTTATTCTTTCCAAATGATGGGTAGAAATATCACAAGTGACATACAGATTCATGAATATTTTGGTTGTTGGGATTTGCTGCTACTCCAAGGAGTTGCTCATTTACTTGATTGATGAAATCAAAAAATCTGTGAACTTGTAAAAAAAAGAAGGCAAAATTATCTTTCATTGGTTGTCAAATCCACTACCCATTAATGCCTCTAAATGAAAGGGCTGAACTATGGATAGTGAGACTAAGATTGCTGCTGAGACTCAAAATATGTACTCAGATCTAGGGATTTTTTTCTCTAAAAATGGACCCACATCTAGGGTTTTTCTTTCAAAAATAGACCCACTTCAATGTAATTTTTAAAAAATAAGACCCACTTCCGGCTATTTTTTAAAAAAACAGTACCTAGTTTTAGGATTTTTCAAAAAGTAGACCCATTTCTAGGGATTTTTTCATCAACATGGGTTCCATATCTAGGGATTTTTCTTCAAAATGGGACCCACATCTAAGGATTTTTCGGCGAAAAGGTGACCCACTTTAGCGGCACCTCCCCATATAGCCAATATATGGGAGTACCCCCCCCAGGTCACCTCAATTAAGTCAAATAAAATTCTAAGTAAATGCACTCTTTCTTGTATTGAACTTTTTCCATAATTTATTGAACCTGTGTGTTATTATAAATCAATCATATTTCAGTTGGTATATTTACCTCTCTTCCAAGTATCCCAGTGCCAGCTGCCACATCCAGAATCTTCCAGTCACACTTCATCCCAACTTCAAATAACTCTTTAAGTAGATCTTTTGGACCATTATAATTCAAGCTCGCTGTCATCTAAAAAAATATGTCTGCTATTGTAATAAAAATGTTAACATGTAACATGTGACTATTGAAAAGGATTACTCAAAGCAGGTAGAGGACAGGGAGGGCATGTTGTCCATGTAGGTAATTGTTGGACATATGACTGCATACACTAGCTGAGTGTCCGACAATGACCTACATGGACGACATTGCCTCCCTGTCCTCTACCTGCTTTGATTAATCATTACCTCCCTTTACTCTAATTGATTTACTCTGATTTACTTCACTAAAGTACACTGGTTTATCCACTCAATTAAGCTTGTTACCGAAACGAACCTCGGTGACCTCTAAGGTACGATTTTTCTTTGTTCCTTATTTCATTTGTTGTGGGGAGAATTTTCACAACATTTTTATCACAAACGTGTGTCAGTATCATATGTTTAAGGTGGGCTAAAGTGCTGCTTATTTTCTCCTGAAGGCACTCAGTAAAATTACGATTTCTCTGCATCCTGATGTCCAATCAACATCATTCCAGTATCTATGTGTTCCTGACACGTTTGGGCATCTGGAAATGACAATGTCTACCCAATGTTTGCACGTTAAATTGACATAATTCATGACTGAAATCGGGAAGACAAATATATGTGATATTCTTTCAGAATTGTTTATAATAACTATTTACAAAAATGTTTCCAAGACACAAATCCATTTAGGTAAGGTTTGATTTCAAATCCAAAAGCCCCAATAAGACAATACAGACCCAGATAAAACCCAGAAGACTGCAGATTTCATGTAGTGATTTACGTTCATGTAAACAAGTAAAGTACATATAATCCCCATATGAAACACTGGCCTACGTGACAATGTAATAACATTTTCAAACTGAAATATAGAAAACTCTCAACATAACATTTGCTTCTATGTCCTGTATGCCCCTCTACCTGCTTAATAAGGCAATGTTTCTTCAAGTAAAACTTTAGCCAAGTAGATTAGAGTCTCTGGAACACTTTTGTAAATAGTTTTCACAAGCAATTTAGTTTGTGAGTCTCAAATTTGTCTTCCCAATTTCAGTCATGAATTACATCGATTTCGCGTGCAAACATTGGGTAGACGCTGTTATTCCTGGATGCCCAAATGTGTCAGGAACATATAGATACTTGAATGATCTTGATTGAACATCAGGTTGCAGAGAAATCGTAATTTTACTGAGTGGCTTCACGAAAAAATAAAAAGGCTCTACGCCTCGTTAAGAAAATGTATATGTTAGCGAACAAATAGTTCAAGAGACAACAGAATTGTCAATTTAATACCTCACTTAAGTATGTAAACGGAATTGGTAAGAAATGCAGATCTTAACCATTTTTTGAAGTTCTGTTCATGTAACTTAAGTGAGGTATTAAATCCACGATTCAGTGGTCTTCTGAACTATTTGTGTGCAAACATGTACATTTTCTTAAACATATGATACTGACACATGCTTGTTATAAAAGTGTCATGGGAATTTTGCCTACAATGCACGGAATAAGGAAAAAAATTGTACCTTCGAGGTTCCAACATTTTGTTACTGGAACAGTTTGTTTTGGTAACCAGAGTAATCTAGTGGATACCAGTGAAATAATTGTAAGTAAATCTTTAGTAATTTGAAATAATTCATCATTTAATTTAGTTTTAAGCACATGTACTTCATACCATTGCCTACATGAAGTAAATCGCAGTTATATATTTAATTCTATTAATTTCCTTCACTTGCATAGAAAATGCAATAATTGTAAAACTTGTGTGAATTCATGTTTAAATGTGTACAAGTAAATCCAATCCTACTTCCCAGAGTGATCAGAGGAGACACTGCTTACTGAGATTCTTACAACTATGGACTTTTAAAATAGTTTAATTACATACATTAAAGGCCCTGTGTGGAGTTTGAATATATGTTTTATCATTGAATTACTCATTTTTATGACTTTAAAAGTTGTTTTAGAAATTTTTGAAAAATTGGCAGCTTTTCATTTCTCAAATATTCAAGTTTTCTGCCATTTTTCAAATAAAAGTTGAAATTTTTTAATTATCAAATATTATTGCACACAATGCAAAACACATTATCTTTTTAACAACAATGCATAGATTAAATAACAGACACTTAACATTTCAAAAATATAAAATGTCATATTTAATTTGCCACTTTATTGTTTTACCATATTAAAAATATTTTGCAACCAAAGTGACATTATCATGACATCACTCAGGTGGCAAAAACCTTTATAAATCTAAATCTTTTCTAAATATGTTTTTTTATTTTTTTATTTATTTCATTAAAACATAATAACATTTGTACATATTCGTGGTCATGACACCTACATAGGTATATAATTGCCCACATTTAAAATCATTAATCTAAAATTTTCAAGTGCTGGAAAGTGGTAAACCATAATTTGTCTCATGAATTAAAAGCATTGGTAAAAAATAATGTACAATAAAGAGGATGGAATCACCTTACGTTTGCTGAACATCAAAATCAGTATTTTGAAAATTTGTCATCTTTAAAAAGGCTTTTTAGTTTATAAATATTATTTGTAAGTTTAATAGTATTAGGAACTTTGTTCCAGATGATTTCACCTTGTACTTTAATACTGTATCTTAAATAATTGGTTTTGAATTTTGTTACATGAACTTGTTCATTCTGTCAAGTGTAGTGTTGATGAACACTATTGTTTTTGTCAAAGAAGTCTGTAAAAATGTCACTTGTTAATACATTCGTAAGTTAGTTGAACTCGTAGTTTTGCCTGCATTTCCCCAAGCACATACTGTATACAGTATTGAATTTGAGACTATATAAGAGAATAGTAAATTGATAGAAGCGTTTTTATATTTAGTTTATGTCTACTTTTAAATAGCATCCCGATGATTTTTGATATTTTAAGTGATATTTTTTTGATCTATGTCTATGTCAATAATCTGCAAAAGGCTAATAAGCCCATATAAAGCAGATATATCATTTAACAGTGATAGAATTTGAATAGAATATAATTTAAAACCTTAACATTTAAAAATAGATCTATGGTTTGCAACTCATTAAAATGGAAAGGAACTTTCCTGGTTGGCCCCTGTATTCCCTAGGAAGTTCCTTTATGTTGAAATACCCTGGGGTGACTGTCAGGCTACCGCGTTGACATCACCCCTCTTTACCAGTAGTGCAGGCTTGTTGCTGTGCACTGGGGATCTTTCACATTAAAACATAGATCTATATTAAAAATACACCTATCTAATTGCAGTTATTGACATAGGCATAGTATGATGATTTAAAACTACTTAGACTGTCACAGTCTAAGATGTCACCAGGTAGAGTGTTCCATTTAGCTATTGTCCTAAGGAAATAGCTAAATTTGTATACATCCGTTCTAGTTGATGGTTGTATGAACTTAGAAGGATGATACAGCCTAGTGTTGGTATTGATCTGTTGGCGGAAGTATGGAGGCACGTCGATGGCTGCTAGGTTTTGCTTTCCTTTGTAAAAAAGGAAAACTCTAGCAGCCTCTCGGCGCTCCTTCCGTGGCTCCCACTGTAGGTCTTGAAGAGCTTTGGTGACGCAGCCTGGTTCCCTTGAGTGACATTTGGTTACAAACCTTGCTGCTCTTCTCTGTACCTGTTCCAACATATCAATATCTTTTTGTCAGTATGGATCCCATGCCGAACTGGCATACTCTAAATTAGGCCGGACAAGTGACTTATACGCCTGAGCCTTCACTTTTTCAGGGCATTGATGGAGGTTGCGCCTGACAAATCCAAGCATCTTATTGGCTTTGGATACAATAGTTTGAATATGTGTAGTCCAGAGTAAGTTGTTTGTGATGTCAATACCTAGGTATGGAATGTGTGTTACCGACTTAAGATTTTCCCCTAGCATGGTGTAATTGTGAATGATAGGGGATTTACCTTTGTGAATATTTAGCACATAGCATTTTGATGGATGGAATTTCATTTGCCATGTTGATGCCCAGGAGACCAGTTTATCTAGATTCTCCTGTAGTGTTAATGCATCTTGCTTGCTTTCGACTGTCATGAATAAAAGGCTGTCGTCAACAAATAGTTTAAGACTACATGTAGCTGAGGATGATAGGTTGTTGCCCATATCATTGATATAAACAAGGAAACAGAGTGGCCCAAGAACTGTTCCTTGAGGAACTCCTGATTTTACTGGAGTTTTTTTAAACTTGATTCACCATTGAGCATTACCTGTTGTGATCTTCCCACAAGCCAGGATCTGAACCAGTTCAAGTTATTATTGCGAATTCCATAATAGTCAAGTTTGAGCAAGAGGCATTCGTGAGCCACCGTGTCAAACGCTTTGGAAAAGTCTAATACCAACATGTCTGTTTGTTAATTGTTGTCTAGGGCCTGAGCTATATTTTCTATTGTATTGACAAGTTGAGTTTCACATGAGTGCTTTGACCTGAAGCCATCCCTTATAAAAAATTCAACCTTGAAAGTCCGAATTTAAACCGTTGCACAATCATTGTACAATCATTGATCCGATCATTTATGCAACCCTGCCAACCGTTACGATGCAACCATTACAATTTTGGTTGTAAACTCATTGAAATGTTTCAATCATATGTAATCATTGTAAACGCTTGACAATTTTGGTTGCATTTCTTGCAACCGTTTCAATCGAATGCAACCCTTTAAAACTATGGCAATTTTATCTCAATACAACATAAAATAATTATCTTGCTCTTTGAAAAATATATTTCAAATGTGTGTATTTCATGCATACTGTACATGTCAGAATTTAAATGGTTTGATCAAAAAGATATTTAAAGTATTGAAATAGTTAAGTAAACTTGTCTTGTGAATGAAAATATATTGAACCAATTTTCATCTAACTTTGAAGGATGGTGATTGTCCCACTCACATGTATATTATCTAGATAACAGCAATGCTTAGGCATAGCAAATCCCCCTTGCTGTCATGACTATCATTTTTACAAAATCACTTCATTACTTTTTAAGTTATTGCAAAATCATTTGAAAAAAAATTTGATTGGGTCAAGTCTAGGATTTTACACTTCACCTTGCAATCATCGCAATTATAAAGGAAGGAAGATGTGTCTGGAAGGAAGAAATCCTTCAATGGGAAAATAATCTGTTTTGATTTGATAGAGAAAATGCAATCAGACATTACAGGATGTGTTTTAAATAATTAAGTCGATAAGCATAACTTAAAAAACTCTGATTACAGTTAGACTCAGTCTATCTAGTTTGATTAGAGTCTGCTTTGAAGGATGTGTCTAAAGAAACTTTATTAATCCATTAATCCATAAACAAAACAAAAATAATTCGGCAAGGCAAAACAAACCTTATTATATCAGTTTTATTAGAGTCTGCTATAAAGGAAGCATTCTATGTAATTTAAATTATTCCATACACAGAACTTGATAAATAATTTGCCAAAGAAAATCTCCCATATTTTCCTCCAGATTTTTCCAAGTTTAGAGTTTTGAAAAATAAGCCCTGTTTTTGGTTTTTATTTTTTAATCATCAACACATATCATTTAAACTGAAAACACTTTTCAGTACAAATGCTCTGCCCTAGTGAATAAAGTAAAACCATGGACTTTCAATCTATTGAATGCCTATGGTAAAACAAACTAAATAAAAATGAAATAAAACATTCTGAAAATATTATTTGCAGTTTCATATACTTGCTATTTGAGATTTCTCAGCACTTATTGAAGTAATTGAATAAAGAAATAAACCCTCAAAAATCTGAAAACACTTTTTAAATTTTAACTCCCCCCCCCCTCTGCATGAAATAGATAATTAAAATAAATATATAGTATAACACAAGATGAAAATAGATATAACAGAAACTAGGGCTATGAACCCTTTTTCTGGTCAAGCATTTTAATTAGCCGTTCAACCGTTTTAATTAGCTGTTCAACCGTTTTAATTAGCTGTTCAACCGTTTTAATTGGCTGTTCAAGCATTTTGATTTTCTTAAACCCATGAGAATATCAATATGTAGTAGGTATTGTTGTGCTGAGCATTGTTATAAAAAATATTTGCTAAGAAAGAACATGGTAATTAAATCTGTTGTGAATAATGTGTTTCACACATAATATACAGTCAATATCAAAATAGTCCTCTTGTTTGTATTTTTTAAATTTTAGTGAGTCATACTCTTGATATTTGGTGTTAACTACACATGGATACATTTGAAGACCCATTTTGCTGGGGGGGGCTGACTACTGGCCTGTTCATTGTATATAAACTTTTGCGGGGTCCTGAGCTAAACCCTCCGTTATCAATATGTTCCCAAACCAATCTATTTGTATATCATGGGTATAGCAATAATCCATCTACCTTGACAAAATTTTACTGAAATTATTAATTCAGATGTTTTCTATTGAAACTGTAAAAATTAAGTCTTTGGTGCCTGAATGCATTATTACTATAAAAACATTTTCACTAAATAAAGCAATCAACTTGTGATTACATGTTTGTATTATTTTGTACATCATACCCTGCTTCTTTTGATCATACATGTATATCAGTCTAATCATGAACAAAAACAATGGTGTCTCATCTTGTGATTTTGTTAAGTTTAAAGGAAATCTTAAGATTTTCCTTGGTCAATTTCTTAACCAAATTGGAATTTTGCTCAATTCTTTTCATAATTAACATTAAAAATACATTATTTTGGCAATATCAGATAACAGGAGATAAACACTAGATATGGTACTTTTAATTGTGTAAACAATGTAAATGACAGAGAACATAAATTATCATATGCCATTGAGTGGAAAACTAGTCTGGTATCGCATTCCTAAATCCGTACTGGAGAAAGAAACATATGAACATGAATTTAGTAATTCACTATAATAAACATGCATGTATGCTTGCAGAAAAAAAATATCCTAATATACTGTTGTTGAATAGAGGTAGATTCAAATCCTTACTTAAAGATAATTTTAATTCAAGCAAAATGATTATTTTTTGGAACGATACTAATTCAGGATGGTTGCAGGGCTTGAACTATGTAATCATTGAACAAAACGTATTGCAACCATTTACATTTCAATGTGAAATGGTTGCAGTTTACAATGGTTGCAGATTACAATGATTGTATAGAAATGGTTGCGCAGTCATTGAAAAAGAGTTGACTTTGTTTGGTTGAACGCAATAGTTGCACAATGATTGCTTATCACCGTACAATGGTTTTTCCTTTGATCTTAGTAGTTGAAACAATCAGTATTCAATGATTGATGGAAACGGTTTAAATTCGGACTTTCAAGGTTGAATTTTTTATAAGGGATGTTGGAAATGTACTAGAATTTCATAGAGGTCAAAATGGGCCATAACATAATGGAATATAATATGTTCCATTATTTTACATGGAACCGACGTCAGAGATACAGGCCTGTAATTCACAGCCTCATCTCTGTGTCCCTTTTTTGTAGATAGCAGTAACATTGGCATGTTTCCAGTCTATAGGCACTAAGCCTTCATCGATAGACTGTTGAAAAATTATTTGAAGGAATGGTGATATGCTGTCACTGCATTCCTTCAGGATGCTTGTCGGAATAAGATCGGGTCCAGTGGCTTTTGATGGATTTAGGCTTTTGATATGTTTCTTCCAGTTTAAATCCTCATCAATAATTATCCTTACGAAGTTGATTGATTGTATCTCTCTGTTAAATTATTTCTTATTTTGATTTCAATATTTTGTGGAACTTTATGTTTGCAGGTTGTATATATCATGAATTTCGTCTTCTGTACATTGAGAGACAGCTTATTAGCACAAAACCAATCATTAACTATATACATGTAGACTTCACAATTTAATTTAGTTATCAGATTATTTATGTTCTTATCAGAATACAAGATGTTTGTATCATCTGCAAAAACTACATATTTTAACAATGTTCCTTGAGGAACTCCTGATTTTGCTGGAGTTTTTTTTAACTTGATTCACCATCGAGCATTACCTGTTGTGATCTTCCCACAAGCCAGGATCTGAACCAGTTCAAGTTATTATTGCGAATTCCATAATAGTCGAGTTTGAGCAAGAGGCATTCGTGAGCCACCGTGTCAAACGCTTTGGAAAAGTCTAATACCAACATGTCTGTTTGTTAATTGTTGTCTAGGGCCTGAGCTATATTTTCTATTGTATTGACAAGTTGAGTTTCACATGAGTGCTTTGACCTGAAGCCATGTTGGAAATGTACTAGAATTTCATAGAGGTCAAAATGGGCCATAACATAATGGAATATAATATGTTCCATTATTTTACATGGAACCGACGTCAGAGATACAGGCCTGTAATTCACAGCCTCATCTCTGTGTCCCTTTTTTTGTAGATAGCAGTAACATTGGCATGTTTCCAGTCCATAGTCACTAAGCCTTCATCGATAGACTGTTGAAAAATTATTTTAAGGAATGGTGATATGCTGTCACTGCATTCCTTCAGGACGCTTGTCGGAATAAGATCAGGTCCAGTGGCTTTTGATGGATTTAGGCTTTTGATATGTTTTATCCAAGTCAGTTCATCAAGACAGCATTATTAAACGTTAAAGCTACGTTCACACCAACGCCGCTTTGATGGCGCTTTAAAGCGGCTTGTAAAGCGGCACCAAAGCGTAACAAAGTTTGATTAAAGCATCGGGGTCGTAATAGGTAGTAGAAAAGCTCGGAGTTAAGCGGGATATTCGGCAAGACCACTAAAAATTTAAACTGTTAAAGCTACGTTCGCACCAATGGCGCTTTGATGGTGCTTTAAAGCGGCTTGTAAAGCGGCACCAAAGCGTAACAAAGCTTGATTAAAGCGTCGGGGTCATGATAGGTCGTGGAAAAGCTCGGAGTAAAGCGGGATAATCAGCAAGAGTGCCAAAAAATTTTAAACTGTTTAAAAATTTTGGGCGCTCTGTTACGAATTGATTAAAGCGCAGAGAGCGTATCAAAGCTTAACAAACAGTAACAAAGCTCAACAAAGCTTAACAGAGCTTGGTTCAAAGCGGGGACCCTAGTCTCTTCACGGTCTATTACCACTTGACACGCTTTGTTAAGATGTCTCAAGATTTACTACGATCTGGCATGAAAATCTGACATGAGGTCAGACGCTTTCATCAATATCTGACAATCTTTGTTACACTTTCATGAAGGACTCTCAAGCTTTCCAATGTATTGAGACGCTTTAATCAAGGATTGAAACGTTTTGCTAGGCTTTGTTACGCTTGACAAGTTTCCACACGCTATATCACGCCATGTGACAAACATCATGTCTTCTTCAGATAGGTCATGCTCTGATCCATCTGGAATTTCTGGATCTTGTTGTTCTGCCATCGTGTTTCATGGATCTACTGCATCTTTATATGGTCATTGGATCAAAAGCGGCATGAAATCGTCAATCTCGACATTTTCCAATGCTTGACAGAGCCTAACAGAGCGTAACAATGCACAACAGAGCTTGGCAATCGTATCAGAGCCTGATTTAAAGCATCATAATCGCCTCAAAGCGCAATAATGCTTGTCAAAGCGTGATTTCAAGCGTAACAAAGCCTGGTCAAAGCGGGATCAAAGCGTGAGGAACCTATCAGAGCTTTGTTAAGCTTTCCTACGCTTTGGATCAAGCTTTTCTGAGCTTTATTATGGTTTGTTAAGCTTTGATACGCTCTCGGCGCTTTAATCAATTTGTAACAGAGCGCCCAAAATTTTTGAACAGTTTGAAATTAGTTTGCGCTCTTGCCGAATATTCCGCTTTACTCCGAGCTTTTCTACGACCTATTACTACCCGGATGCTTTAATCAAGCTTTGTTACGCTTTGGTGCCGCTTTACAAGCCGCTTTAAAGCGCCATCAAAGCGCCATTGGTATGAACAAAAATGACAAAAATGACGGCGCTTTGCTTGCCGATTTAAAGCGTGGCATTCGCCGTTGGTGTGAACGTAGCTTTAATCAAATATGTAGGCTAAAAATTTAATGAAGAACCAAAAAGTTTATATTACCTTGTCATAGGTCTCTGCTGTATTCTTGTAATGATTGTGCACTTCATCATATTCAGCAAATGTTGAAACCTTATTAAAGGCATTCTTTGCGTTATCTTCATAAATCTTGTCTTCAGTTTCCATTTTCTGCATACTTCCACAGTGGCGTAGCCAGCAATTGGTGACCAGGAGTTCGATTTTTTATGTTATCCACAAATCTCCCCCTTCATTTGTGTACCTAACATAAAAGCTATTTTTTTTATATTTCGTCATACATACAATTCATTCTTTCATTGACATGTTCATTCACAGATATGTCAAGTTCTCAAACATGCAATTCCCACACTGATTTTTTTTGAAATCCCAAATCAAAAGATTTTTATTTGCTATTTCATTTTGTTATAGAGGAGGAGTTTAATGACCTCGTGAATTTACAGTTACTTACTGAATGCTAGTATTGTGACGATCCTTCAGATTACTTTGAGCATGTTAATGGAATTGCCTTGAAGGATTGTCACTTTGTTTAACTTTTTGCCCTTCACTTTATCAAGTTTTTAGATACTCAATATTTCAAGAGATATAAAATAATTTAAATTCTGTAAAAGGGTAGTCTGTATTACTACTTTGGCTATACTCTTAAAGTATGGTTAGAGTTTAATCATTTTACTCTATATTTATATTTAGGTTAATAACCTTCTCTTGTGCTTTTCATGTAATATTATTTACAGGATTAATGTCAACATATACATTTTGTTCATAATATGAGTTTAATATGAAGGTTTTAGGCCCAGTTTCATGTTTAATGTTATGTTACAAACTTTTTAGAAAGGGCAGTTGTCTGGGTTTGTTTCAAAATCCAAAGTGAGGCTTATTAAGCTTGATTTAAGTAAATAAGCACGTTTTAAGTGATTTGTCTTTTTCTTTGCTTTTATGATTCGAATTCAAGCCGGCTAGACATGGAAAACATTTTGTGGAATTTTAAACATTAAATCGTCACTAAAATTGGATATTTATATTGATCCAGATAAACCAACTTAGGTGTAAGAGTTGGTAAGGTAATTGACTTGATTTAATTGTATTTTTGCAGAGTTTTAATCTTTGAAAAGAAGTATCTGTACACTTGATTTATTCCTTAATTTTATTTAGATGCCTTGTGAACATCCCAGGTTTAAATTGTCCCAGGGATTGTTAAGGAATATTTGACAAGGTTAACGCAAAGTTAAAGAACCTATGTAACTTATTAACCAACGTCGAAAGCAAGTTCCCGGGGTTCCTTATAAAGCCTTCTATACAACATCCCCACAGGGAATTGTTTAGGAATATTTGACAAGGTGTATGAAAAGTTACGGTCTTTACGAACCGTATGTAACTTGCTCTAAACCAGAGTCAACTGCAAATTCCTGGGGTTCATAGACACCTCTATACGACATTCCCCCCCCCCCATCCAGTTTGGGACTGTATTTAGTTTGTTCACAGGGTTTTTATTGATACAGTAGAAATACTCCTTTGTATATTTGTATGTTAAATTCTGGGTAAGTTAAAGGTAAAATCCCGGGCTTATGGGACCATTATCAAACAACTGATCATTGAAGTACTTTTAAGGGTCATGGTCATTCGAAGCCCATTTCGGACTTGCGACACCCCCTCCCCTTCTAGTTTTCCATGTCTGGTCTAATTCTGTGTTAACTACATTCTTATTCATCAATTATAGATACTAGAATACTTTAAAAATACTGTTTCCCATTTGTTTGCCTATTGTACCATAGTCTGATAGTGGCAAAATGATGTCCCACTTTTCATGTGAGAAGTATAGAGAGCTGATTTCAACCCCACCAGGGATGATATAAAATTGCACTACATTTTTGGAAAAAGACCCATTTTATGCTTTGTTGCAAATTGTTTAACTGAACTTCCATTAGCTGTGCTGTTTTATGCATGTTTGGTTTGAGAGATTATTTACTTGATATACCATCTCGACAGTACTGAATTGTGTAATGTTTGTGTAGATTAGTAAATAGAAATAGAGTCGTTTTTATACATTATATAAAAATCCACAGAATATCACTTCTTGTGTTCAATTATTTATATATATATTAGAAAATTCCCCCTCATTTTATCTAAAGTAGATTCTGGATTCAAAATAGATTCTGATTAAATTCCAGGTGCCTTTAGTGACACTAACATTCAAGCAACAAGCTTTATCTTAGCTCATATTTGCTAAGGGCTTCTTTGAATAACAATCACTCACAATAAGTCATACATATATTTTCCCAAAAACTACGCAATAGTGCACAGATAAAGTACAATCCAGGATCTTACTTCCTTATTTAACCCTTGTCTTATGGATAATATTAGTGAGAATTTCATTCACCCTGGTTCCAAGTCGTTACCACAAACATTATTTACTTTCATGTTTTATTACTTGCTTGTTTAAATTGTGTACAATTAATATTATCCCCTGATGAGTTTGACAGACTCCTGATTTGAAATAGCCCAACTTTAATTCTTACAAACTTTCCCACTTTTATTGTGACCAGCGAGCTTAATATACAGCTTGAAGTCCATCGTAGCCCTCTAGTGGCTAGGTCTTCCACCTGGTTATACTCGCACCCTAACATTATACTTATTTGATACAACTAACACTGGGCACATTCAGAATCTGGAGTCTGTTGCCATTTGCCTTTATGAGACATACAACTTACGTTGAAAACTGACAAATCTTACTTAGTCTATATTCAGATTTTGTTATCCCATAACTGTTATCCCGAACTTGTCCCACTTCATCCTAATTATTTTTATCCCAGAATTTATCCCCTAAATTTTCATCACAAAATTTATCCCAATTTTATCCAATTTTGTTATGATACTGTGAACACAGATGTTGTTCGATTAAACAGGGGAAAAACATTTCAACTTTTATTTGAACTTGTTCCGAACTAAGTGAATGAAAACATCAAATCAAACTATTGACTCTTAGACTGTATTCTGTTTGCGACCCCCAAACCACGCTACCACACGAGGGTCGTGACAGTATATTCAATAGCAAATGTTTTTTTTGAAGAATGTAATACTTATTTAATCATGGCGCACAGTGACAGATGACAAATAGATTTGTATTAATGGAATGAAACAGTCTGAAATTCCAAAAATACCAAATTGAAAATCAATATATCCACAGTGCTCTGTAGGCTCTAACATTCTTTTCTTTTAAATTTTAATGACTTACAACAAAGAACAACTAATGCTAAAAACCTATTTGTTCTTTCTTTGAATTGAGAATAAAAAATTAAACTTTCCATTTTCTATCACCGTTCCGCTGTTTTTTTTTTATCATAAATGACGAGAATCGTGAACGTTTTGAGAAATGAAAACAGTTTAGATGAACTTGTAAATCATTATAAACTATAATTCGTTTTTGAGAAATGAACATTTTATTATCTTATTAAAAGAATGCTGTCAAATTCTTTTTAGACACACGATTTGAAACTTGTGCAAGGCTAATACACTCGTCTTTCTGGCAAATACACTCCCCTTCTGAAGTTTGGCAACCTTAGCCCCCCCTTTATGTTTAAATTTTGATTTACATAACCTGCGAGGAAAATACCTATAATATTGATGGAAATGTAACTTGACTTCATTTCCAATGCCACAAATTTTCCCAATTCTTTTTCTTCTATTTGATGAATTTTGGAAAATCGTCATTCCCATGTTAACCAAGGGAAACCAATGGGCTTTGTATTTAATTAGTAGATTAGATTCAACAGCAGACCATCTGTAATTGGGTCTTTGAAGTTTAAAAATCTCAATAATCCGATGGCGATAATCAGTGGATCAGTTTTTTTAGAAAATAAAAAGTGATTTATAGGAAGCAATGCATATTGGTACACTATGTAACTTTTTATTATCACACTTTGAAAAAGTGCTATATTGTCATCGTCTTGTGCTGTTGGGCGGGCGGGCAGGCGGGCGGGCGGGTGTGCGGGCGGGCGGCACATAAACCAAATCTTGTCATCAAATTTCCAGGATAACTGCTTACCTGTTCAACTTGAAATTTTTACAGATGCAAGAGCAGACTAGTACCAAGATCTGATTAGGTTAAGGGCATGCTGGGTAAACTACGTGGTGGCCATTTTGAATTTTTCAACAAATCTTGTCATCAAAATTCCAGGAAAACCACTTATCCGTTCAACTTGAAATTTTTACAGATGCAAGAGCAGACTATTGCCAAGATCTGATTAGGTTTTGGGTATGCTGGCTGAATTACATGGTGGCCATTTTGAATTTTTCAATTTGGTGGCCATTTTGAATTTTTCAACTTGCTCCTTTTTTTTAAAAACATCTACAAGTTCTCAGAAGTTCAAATCTGACCTTAGATTTTAGATTTGACCTTTGGTTCACCTTCAGTGACCTTGAAAAGGTCAAAAAGTTGATTTTCTAAATTGATATTTTGGATTTAAATTTAGGTCAGCTTAATTACAAAACACCTACTGAGGTCTGAAAAAGTGAAATTTTCAAGTTCGAAGGTCATCAAATTAGGTCACAAACAATGTTATCTAAATTTTCCCAAAGTTCAAGACTACAAATAAATTCTTGTCAATAAATATCACATGTCATACCTCAAACGATGCCAATATTTTTTAATTTCAGGCCAAATTTTGAAGAAAATGGGCCTCAAAATTTAGGCCCACTTTGGGGTTTTAGGGGCCCAAATCTTTTTTTTCTTTGACCTAAAATTTGATACCTGACTTAACTATCCTAGTCAGTTCCAAATAGCTATCAGTTTTGAGATGTTCTGGACAGAATGCTCCGCTCATAACAACTGCATCATATGTGTTTCTCTCTATGTGTAGGACTGCGCTGTCTCCAACTTTTGAACATATAAGCTCTCTGTATATATTTTTTTCCTTTGCCTTATCTAGCATTTGCTGACAAGAATCCAAAGCATCAATGTTGAAGCAACCATTCAGTTGTAACTGAAAAAATATCAATAGCATACATTTTGTATTTTGGATCATTTACAGTTCTTTCATTAGACATAGCTATGATTGAAAATTAATAGCCCCACAACAATGTTTTTTATGATGAAAACTTAGTTTTTCATTTTCAACTAAAGTGATAAATATTACTGTTGGTAGTATACTCACAAGATACAACTTGTATATCTTTCACATGTAATTTGTATTTTTTAGCCTGAGCCCTATGGGCCGTTAATGAGGGGGGTC